TTGTTTGATTGTGTGTGGCAAGTCTTTATAGGAGCATTATGGGATTGTGGAAAAAACAGCAGCGATTTAGACTGAAAACAGATATAATTTTGAGAATTCTTAACGTTGGGTGTCCTTGAATGTGGTTCTGTCCAATCTGTGGCTGATGGGATGAATGGGATGTGGCTTGGTGCTTCTCGACCACATGGAATGCTATCTATCTGTCAACCAGATCATCCAGGCAGGAGGGAAAGATAGACGGAGTCAAAATGGCTGGAAATGGAGACAGGGACTAGAGAATTGTATGGAAACGGAGGGAGAGAGAGGCATATAGAGACTTGAAAATACATTTTTACATAATTGCTAATTGCAGATAATATCAAATATGTGCTCTTAGCCCTTCTTGAAATACTGGGGACTTGGGAGTTTTGTGTTTACAACCAAGTTAGAAAATATGCACTTTCACGATTGTCCCTATTTTCCCCCTAGTTTTTCATCATTGTCATGTATCTTCTTATTATATAACTGTTTATGCAGGAAGAGCCAATCAAAAAGTGCAAAAAGTTAGATGAGTAAAATAAAGACATATCAGATAAGAACCAATGGGAAGTAGACTCACTTGGCACTTTGTAAGGAACATATTGTTTGTTAGGCACCCTTTTACCTCCACAAGTGCCTAAAATCTTTGTGGCATAGATTCATCAAAGTGCTGGAAACACTGATGCATCTATGAGAGTATGAATGTGTATGAATGTTAGATAGAAAGCAGTTATGTTGAAAAAGCATAGAAAAAAAGTCCGTCTATGAATTTGTAAATGAAGCAAGTTACGTAAATCGCTATACAGGAACCAGACCATTTACCATTTCCAGCATCACACAGTTCTTCCAGGATGTAAATCTCCCATTGCACCACATCTCAAAGGTGCTCTATTGGACTATGACTCGGTGGCTGTGTGGGTCATTTGAAAACTCATTGTCATTTTTAAGAAACCAGTTTGAGATTATATGAGCTTTGTAATGTAGTTCATTATCCTGATGGAAGATGGGTACACTGTGGTCATAAAGGGATAGACATGGTCAGCAACAACACTCAAGTAGGCTCCAGTGCCTAAATGATGCATTCAGTGTGTGGTCTTCCTGTTTTTTCATAATATATAGAGCTTAAGTGTGGTTAAGATGAGTGCGCTCTTCTGGTTGACACATCATGGGTTCGCCATAAAATTAAAGAGTTGCTTCACCCAAATTAGTCTACAACCACGCCGTTGGTTATAGTTGTACTGGTTCAGAGTTTAAGGTGATCTATTCCTGCAATTTCTACATTCAAACAGAAACAGGTGGAAAAGACTGGGCTTTAATCTGTGTTGACACAAAGAGGCATCTTGTGTCCAACGCTAGATTAACCACAGATAGTTTCAACTTTAAGTAATGTCATTGTAACTTTTCAGTGTCATTAACACCACAACTAGACCAGGAGCTGCACTACTGCTGAAACATTCTTAGTGAAAAATTATTTCATAATATTTTTTATGGCGAGGAGCGTTATTAAATGCTTTTAAGAATGTGTGTGAAGAAACAGTTTTCCTTTCTTTTGATGTAATTTTAATAAAAATGAATGCTTTACTAATCACAATTGGTCTCTGCGCAGGCAAGAGGCACTCCTGGCAGCGATAAGTGAGAAAGACGCCAATATCGCCCTGCTGGAGCTCTCCTCGTCCAAGAAGAAGAAAACCCAGGAAGAGGTCGCAGCTCTGAAGAGGGAGAAGGATAGTCTGGTTCAACAGCTCAAACAGCAGGTAAGACTCAAACACTGACATCCAAGGAAAAACCAGGAAAGCTTTTTGAGAGGAATGCAGGTTCCAAATCTGGAAAAAAAATGTAAATAAAAGCAGGGGGAACACAGGTGAGGTGACAGTGACAAGAGTAGTAAAGAAAAACAAGACTGGCAGAGAGAAACTGAGTCCAGATGTAACCGCAGCACTCCAGCCACGAAGGGTAAATTTAGGATTAACCTACCACTCCTACTCTCACCACATGCACACATAGAGTTCTGAACTTCAGCAGAGTTCTGGTGACAACATTTTCTTATGAACTGGTATTTATGTAAATGTTCTGTCCGCAGACACATGCACACTAACACACACAAAACCTTGCATGTCACCTTACTGGCACGGTTAGATGTTAATAAGTTCAAGCACACAAATGCTCACACCAATGTGTACACATTCCCTCAGGCCAAAAACAAGGATATAAACATGACCAAATGCCTCTGTGGTTCCACACAGAGGTCTATTCATACACACACACACTCCCACACACACACTCCATAACGCAGTTAAGGTTCTCGTGGGTCTTTTGAAATAACCAACTCCTTAGTGAATGAGCCTACTGGGAGTTTGGTGGATTTCTTCTTTACTGTTCTCTCCTCTGTATGTCTCATCATTTCTCTGGATGTGATATTACTTTTATTAACTTGCTTAACCAACGAAGTATACGATGAGGTGCTCTATACTTTTTAGTGGAGCTTAAGTTTAATGTCACAGTAGTAAATGTAGATAACTTTCAGTATTAAATTAATATACACCTTAACTTTTGTTTATGGTAGGCCATAAACCATAAGCCATCCTTCTACCAAGGAAGGTTGTGATAGACAGTGGCTAAGAAGCATATTTCTTATTCCACAAGGTCAGAAAACATATAAAGTCTCTTCAGGAAGTTCTGGATGTCCCCTCAGTTGGGTCTGCCTGTAAATCCTCCAAAGGTCGGTGCCCAGGAGGCACCCTAACCGGATCTCTGACGAGACAGCTGTGGCTTAGGGGTGTCTACTAATCCCCTGTGTCTACAAGATTCTTCATTTTGCCCTTGATACATTAATACATTAATTAAGAGTGTCAGAATATTAGATCAAAGTTCTGTAAAAAGCAATGTATGAATGAGTATATTTGGGTCGACAGACGGATTCGTGCTGCGGCTGCAGTGATACGGACGCTGTACTGGTCTGTTGTGGTGAAGAGAGAGCTGAGTGTAAAACCGCAGCTCTCAATTTACTGGTCGATCTACGTCTCTACCCTGACCTATGGTCATGAGCTGTGGGTAGTGACCGAAAGAACGACATCGCGGCTACAAGCGGCAGAAATGGGCTTCCTCCGAAGGGTGGCTGGCCTCTGCCTTAGAGATAGGGTGGAAGTTCAGCCATCTGGGAGGGGCTCGGAGTAGAGCCGCTGCTCCTCCACATTGAAAGGAGCCAGTTGAGGTGGTTCAGGCATCTGACAAGGATGTCCCCTGGGCGCCTCCTGGGTGAGCTGTTTCGGGCATTTCCCACTGGGAGGAGGCCCCGGGGCAGACCCAGGACGCGCTGGAGAGATTATATCTCTCAGCTGGCCTGGAAACGCCTTGGTGTTCCCCCGGAGAAGCTGGAGGAGGTGGCTGGGGAGAGGGAGGTCTGCTTGGGCTGCTGCCCCCGCGACCTGGCCCCAGATAAGCGGAAGAAGATGGATGGATGGATGGATGGATGGATGGATGGATGGATGGATGGATGGATGGATGGATTTTGGCTTATCTCTTTATTACCAGTCCAGTCCAACGCCTGTGCTCCATCTAATGCCACAACAATCCACCTCATGTTCCACTTCTTGATTAAGATTCTTGATGTTTGAAAGCATTTGCTTGGGACAGTTATTCCCTCAAACCAAAGGGAGCCAGAGCACTCCAGCACTTCCTGGCAAAGAACCATGGCCTCAGACTTGGAGGTGCTGTCTTTCATTCAGGCTGTTTCACACTTAGATGCAAACCACTCCATTGCATGCTGAAGATTACGCGCCAGTGAAACCAACAGAACCACATCGTCTGCAAAAAGCAAGGATACTATTCTGAGGTTTCCATAATGGACACCCAACTCACTCTGGCTAGGTCATGAGATACTGTCCATGAATATCACAAATATGAGCAGAGACCAGGGGCAACAAAGTGTGGAGTCCAAATCGATAGAAAACATGCTTCACGTTCACAAAGGAACTTGCTAAAACACGCAGCTAGTAGCAAATAACCCCAAACACAGAGTTATGATGCTCAAGATGAGTCTACTTCTATCACAGCCAAAGCTTGATTTTTAGCAGCTAATAAAAGCAGAGACTGTCAGGCTTAACTGTCAGGCTTGTAGCATCATTCACAAGCCCTTTCATAATTACAGCCGAACAGATGTTTTCTGTCAAGTACATTTGGGATTAGTTTTCACCAACTTTGCTGTCAGCTTTGTGGAAGAACTCAAATACTAAAGGTGTTACGTTTCATACATTATACATAATAACAACCCCAGGACTGATCTTAACAAAATTCAGCTGTTAAATTATACACGCAAGTGTGAAAAAAACAGGAAAATTACTGTACAGGGAATCCTAACTTTTTTCCTTCCCTCCTCTTTTTGCACTGTTTTTCTACATTTTACTTTTTTTCTTTGACCTTTGACTTTTGTTATCTGTTGCACTATCCAACCAGGCTTTCCATTTTATGTTTTGCTCAATTACTGCCAATACATCCCAGACAAAGGAACCCTACAGAAATACCATCCAAGTTTTTTTTTTTTTTATTTGATAGTTGCACGAAATGTAACTTTCACTGGTGGAACAGTCTGTTAAACTCGCTTAGATCATATAAAAATGTATTATCTAAGCATACTCTGTGTGTAATCAGCAATCTCGTAAGCACAGTGCACACCAGGCATACAGCTATGATAACGACACATGGTAAATCATAACTAAGCAGAAATCGTAGCGCTTTACACTCACTTTAAAACCCCATGGTTCAGATTAACTTGTCATAAAGACCCCTAGAATACAAATGCTATCACAAGACTTTCCTGTTCAATGTTGCCAAAAGTTGACTTAATGTATGGAAGCTCCGAGGTTTCAAAAAGACAAGCATTGGCTATGCAAAAGCAACATTTGCACGCCACAGTGTTTGAATAGATGTTTAAGAGAGAAGTGCAAGGTGTTAGAAAGTAGTGTCAAATGAAGTCAGAGTAACAGTCCTCACCCTCTCTCTTTTTTCCTTCCTCATCCCTCCATCTCGTCTCCGTCTCCGCGTTCTATTTGAAGTCATTTATGACACTTCAGGGTCTCGAAGGTGGTTACTGACAACACAGAGACTCAACTGTCTGCAGCTATGAGTGTGCGCATGCATGCAAGGGTGTGTAACGTTTTGCACAGCTCCAAGTCTCTCACTCTCTCTCTCGCTCCCATTCTCTCTGTAGAGCCATAATGTTCAGTCTCCAGTGATGGATCACAGCGGAGACTTCCTCAGTATTCCTGTGTGTACACATGCATCTGTTTGCAATGTTATCAAGTAAGCTGAGGCTTATGTAGCATTTTCTTGTGTCACGGATCGACTTTTAGATGCTTATAAATTAACTGACAAGTGGACAGAGGCAGAGTGATAGCATAAAATTAAAACTGAGTTTTTTGATGAAGAGTAAACTCTTGTTTGTCGTAAGGCCTCATGTGGCAGGTAGTGTTTCAGTTAGCAAGCTAACTTTGGGTTAATACTCTGGGTTTGCAGTTTTATGAATGCGGTTCACTTATGCGTGTGTTAGAAAAGTTGTTTGAAAAGTTTTTGAAGTTTGTTTTTTGACGACGACCACTCTTCAGTGAGTCACAGGTCAGAGTCGGGGTGTTTTTTGATGGAGTGCTTAAATACTGTTTCCAGTCTGGTCTGAATTTGGGTTTCACACAGCACAGTAACCTATGCCGCAGAGCTGTCAGACCCCACTACAGAGCAGGTTAAATTCAGAGAATTACATTTCTCGTGCCATGGAGCTGTTTGTGTAGTAACAGGCATGTAGAATTGATCGTACCCTATCTATTATGAGATTTATTATGAATTGAAACTATTTCAGTTAATCCATTGCAATGTATTAATGCTGTGTACTAATGATATGGCAATTGTAAGCACATTTAGTCAGAACAGACTAATAAACCAGTGAATGCAAGCAAAGAAGATTTGTATTTGTTGCGCTTATGCTGCATACGTTAAAACGCACCTGTGTCCCTGAAAGCTTTTCCTGCATGTTAACCTTTGACCCCCAGCTGCAGGAGGCTGTAGATCAAGGTAACTTCAGCTCTCTTCACTCTCCTGTATATCCCACAGTCTCCTTCCTCTTCCCTCTAAAGCAGTTTTCACACATCTGCTGAAGCCCTAAACATTTCTCAACATACCTGCTGTAAGTGCATGTGACAACCCAAATATATGATACAACTGGATTGGTCTTGCCTGCCTAGCACAAAATCTACCTGTGCCAATGTGAGAAATCCAATGCAATGGTAAATTTCTGATGAATTTACAGCAAATCACTGGTATTCATGGATCCTGGACTGTGCAGTGTATTTCAAATATTAACAACTGATTTTTCCTGACACATATTATGTGTTAAATGCATAGAGTGTATATGAAAGATGCAGTCAGCCTTTGGTTTAACATCACATCTTTGGAGGCTCTACTTTGCATTTTACGGCTGTCACCATCTTGATTTTCCGAAGCCAGTAGTGACCACATTTATACCGTAGACTGAATCTAACATGTAAAAGTAAAAAGTTACCATGCTTCTCACCTCATTTTTGACCTCCATAGGCATTTTTCTAGCATACTTTTTTTTTTTTTTTATCTGGGATGGCTGTGGGTCAGAAGGTAAATCATTTCATCTGGTAATTGCAAGGTTGTTGATTTGATCCATGATTGCTCCAGTCCATGTCCCAAAGTATCCTTGGGCAAGATACAGAATCCCACAGTACAGGAAAAGGAAGTACACAAGAAAAAAGCGCTTGTGTGAAAGAGACATGTAGTATAAAATGCTTTGGGTGCTGGAGTAGAAAGGTGTTATATAAGAATCAGTCCATTTATCATTTATGGCTTTAGTTGCTAGTTTGAGGTCTTATCCAACACACCATAGTGTTCATTTTGTAAATTATGGTCCAGCTTGTAACAAATTAAGGAAAAAGCAGTTGGTGTGGCTACCTTGACAAGTCACTGTCATATTATCTTGCAGTGTACTTGGTTTCTTTGTGAACTCCATCTGTGCCACGCACTCAATTTCAAAAGCAAAGAAAAAATAATATTTGTAATATTTTATGAAATGTTACAATAGAAAGAAGAGGGTGGAGGTGAGGAATTAGCAGGATCTCTCCTTTAGCAGACACATGTTTAACAGTTACAGGTCAGGGATGTATGTGTGGCTATGGTCCTCGGTCCAGACCTCTATGGCTGTAATATGGACATTTGTAAGACTTTTGGCTCTTCGTGTGATGATATTGTATTTCCAGCAGACCTGAATGAGATCTGTCCGCATCCATAATGTGGTCCATAAAGGGTCAAAACATATTTAAATAAATCTTTAATCTTTAAATCTTTACATAAATTATTTTTTACACAACAAATATTTGCATTCTTAGAACATATGTCCTGACATTCTAGATTTCCTATTTTGGTTTTGCAAATTAAATTATCTCCATTTTATTTGTGAACTAAAAACATCTTTAATACTATAACGCCCCTGTTCTTCTTTTCTGAATCACAGTTCATAGTGTTCATGCTTTGTTTTCCCACTAAACTCTTCATCACTTCTTGTTTGTAGTTATGATGACCTCCCGTGTTACTGGCAAGTGAAAAAATGTGGATCTAATCAAATTTATAACACCGCCGAGACTTACTGCAATGAAATAATCTCCACAGCGCTCAGCTCAAACACGATTCATTATCATTTGTATTTTTCCACTTATTAACAATTTTCTTTTCTTGATATAAAATGGGTTAAGAGTAATCTAATTTCTTATCATGATGAAATAGTTCTTGTCAAACCATGACTCAGCAACTTTTCATTGTTGATAATTGCACAGATATCTACAAAGGCGCTTCTATTGCCACCGGAGAGAAAGGCGAAACAATAATCTCATGTAATGTTCCCCAGAGCGTTATCGTAATGAAATAATTTTCTTCCAAGCGTGGCTCAGCAGCCCCCCCACCCCCTCACTTCACCTCGTTTTCATTTGTTTCTCATTCTTTCGATTGTTAGCGAGTTACAGCCGAGCTGTATGAAGGATGTGTGGGGGAGAAGCGGAGGGGAGGGAAGAAGACGTAGAGAAGCTTGAGGGAGGAGGAGTGAAATAATGGTGTGATGATTAGATTAAGTGAGAAAGAGAGTTGGCACAAGAACAAATGAGCTGAAGTCAGCATTCCTGACAGTTAGCGAAAGAGGAGAAATGTAAAGAAAGGCCAAAGTGGAAAATGAGGACACTTCTTCAGCCATACTTTCTTCTTTGTCTTTCCACCTCACCGATTGCATCAACTTCATTTTTAGGATTTTTTTTTTCCTCTTGCATGTTGCTCTCTAGATTTTCCATCATTTAAAGACAGATTTTTACTAAAGACTAATAAAAATCTTCTTTTTAGAAGTTTGGCCATAGTCATTTTTAAAAGCTTTTAGAAACAAAATTACCACACTTGGACGAGACGGCAGAACACTGCACTTTTAGATTAATTAGAAAGCTGCTTCACATAGACATGAAGACTTGCTTATGAGTACCGATGTAAATAAGTAAGGTACGAATGTAATAGGATGGGGCTGATTGTTCAATTAACCACACTGTAACTCATACTATTTGTCATATTAAAGGCACAAATATGCTCAGGTGATCCACTTCATGCCTTAAATTGCGATTAAAAAAGAACAAAGACTTTTGCTTATCTTAAAAGACCAAATTCATTTTGTAGCAACCTGTAAACATGTTTATTTCTGCAGCATTTAATATCAGTATTTAAGGTACCAAAGTCAATCTATTGGGATTGACTTGCTTTTGGAGCCAGCCTCAAGTGGCTCTTCAAGAAATAAACAATAAATAAATAAACAAAATGAACTCGAAAAATAGTGGACTAGACATGAAAACAAGAAGAGAGAAAGAGGACATGTTGCAAGCAGAAGGAAGGAAACAAACAGAAGCTGGAATTGGCCACAGATAAAATCAAGTTATGGAGCTCAAAATGAGAGAATGAAGCAGGGAAAAATGAAATACTATGTTTATAGATGGGAAGAAGACACTTAAAAAAGTGAGCTTCGATAACTACAGAAAGGAGTGCGTTAGGTATTTGGGTAAAAAGACTTAATCTTCAAAAGTATTATGTATGACAGAGGTTAGCGATGAAGACAGGAAGAGTGGGAGGAACTGGGGATTATTTTGATACAGAAAGCTCTAGGATGAGGAGAAAGAGGACAGGACACAGATAAAGTGTTTTTACAGAAAGGTAGGACAGAAGATACTAAAGAGATCAGAAATCAGGCACCCTCTTGACACAGCTTATCCTCTTCTTAACTGTCTTCCCTCCTTTTTGTTTCTTGCTTTCCAGATCCCAGAGCCTTTTTTGCAAGTGTTGGAGCAAATGTTTTTAATGTATGTTTACTTACGATCTCTTAACCTTTATGAAATAAACTTTCCTAAGGACAGAGGCACATCTGTCTGTTCAGCTTTATGTCACGTGTTCCATATGAACCTGGGGTTTTGGGTTATTATTATCTATTTTCATCTTTGAGGCAAACTCCTGGCATAAGTCATGTAGGCATATTTCTAGAAATTAACCGTAAGACTCCACACACGAGACCTCTTCCTCTATCTTTCAGTGTGACACAGTCCACTAAAGTGATGCTTACCTAAGATGGTCATTCAGAAGAACATAGAAACAAACAAAGACACCGGCTTTATTAATCCCACACTGGGGAAATTCACACGTTACAGCAACACAAGTGTCAGCAAGAAAAAGTGAATTAGAGATAATAATTGGAATAAATAAAAGAGAAAAACAATAGTGTACAAATAAAAAAATACACAATTTTACATATGTACATAAAGTGAAGTGGCAGTGATATATGTATTTATATATTTTTGCAGGCAACTATCACGTGTGTGTGTGTATTGTACGGTATGGACCAAGTCTTACTTGCTCTTTTAATTTCATTAAATTTGCGTTTCCCAAGCCAGTGTCTGGTGCATATGAACTTTCCATATGTTACAACAACAGCATCAAAAAAATAATAATCTGTGTAAGGACGGTTGCGGGGGAGGGCAGGTGGAAGTTGCGGTCAGATACTAATAAAGGTGACTTTACAGCTCTGCGCGTGTTTATCTTCAAACTTGTGTGGTGTGCAGATAAACTGTCTGCTCTGCGAGTTTGCTTTATAGGTGTTTTTAAGTGTGGCATGGGCTCGTTTGTGCAGGTCCAGATACTCACCAAGTGTAACACACTGTCAGACGCGTGATCGTTTTGCTCACATGCACACTCCTAAAAGTGCAGTCTTTCATTTAGCTTTCAAACAAATGCATATAAAATTTTTTTTTTTTACTTTTTGTCAAACACACACACACACATATATACATATATATATATATACATACACACACACACACACATAACCTCAGTCTGTCCTGCTTAAGCTCCTGTTCCTTGCAGGGCTCAGTGTGAGGCTAAGGGGATTTAGAGTATACAAGACTTACAGATTTATACTGACTCCATCTCTTGCTTTTCATCTCTCACCCCTCACACTTTGCAGGCCTACTGTAAAACCTGAAGTATAACTATAACATGTGAAACAGATGGAGCAGCAAGACGAGGAGAGAAGACGAAAAGTGGGGGGGGGAATGTGACAGTAATCCGAGGAGCAAAAAGATGGTTGCAGAGAAAAGACAGGAGAAATGAGAATGGAGGAAAGAAAGAGCAAGATATGGAGGAGGAGGAGATGAAAGTGTTTTGGAGGCCTTTGTATGTGTACAGTCTAATATTTGTCTAAGTCTTTATGGATCTCCCCTCAAGTGGCAACTTAACAAGCCTGTTATTTTTCTGCGCCGGTTAACAAGCTACACAACAGGTTGCATGATGGTTGTGTGTGTTTGCAGTCTGAAATGTGCAAGATGAACCAACCCAGTTCTTGAAACTCAAATACAAATGGACAGTTGGGAAGCCCTCTGTTACTGTTTTCCTCTTGCGCACAAAAACACACACATATGCACACTTTTTCAGGCAAAGCTCATGGCACTCACTCAAAAATCTACTCCTCTCCAAATTAACTTCACACGCACACGTACACACACTGGTTTATGCTCCGTCTAAAACACGAATGTCATAATGATGATCGTGCTAAATTCCACCTAAAAACAAAAACGTGTTTCTAATGAGATATATTATTTTTGTCTCTGCAGACGCAGAACAGGATGAAGCTGATGGCGGACAACTATGAGGATGATCATTTGAAGGTTTCATCCCCAAACTCAGAGCAGCCCAACAATCACAAACCCTCCCCAGACCAGGTAAGATAACTGCCCCGGATGGTGTGCATTGGCCAAACCAGTGAAATCTTTATTTTCTTTAATAATATTTGAATGAAAGACTTTCCAGCAAGTCATATTGCCATTTCTGGGCTATTGGATGTTAGCTTATTTCTCTTCAAATTTACTAATTAAAGTTAACCATTTTTTAGCACTATTACTTGTTCTGCACTCTCTATATCTCTGTTAAGTTTCCCTTTTTTGCTAAACTAACTTCCTGTTTCTGAACTCACGCTGCGGCTGGACTGAACTAACCGATAGGACGATGAGGAGGGCATTTGGGCCTAGCCAATCACATGCCTTCTTCCTCACCCTCAGTTCATCATTGTGTACAGAAGGGTGAGCGTCTTCTCTGTCTGGATTTGATCATGGCCATCGTGTCATTCGTCTTCCTTTTCTTTAGTTTCATCCGTGACTTTGTGATCTCATTCTGGCATCATTGTCTGCCATTTCACTTTATTTGTGGCCTCATATCGTTTTTTATTTATTCAGTTTTCCTCCATTCTTTCTAACATTGAAATCCAATCTTGAAATGCATCTTTTATTCTGTGATTCATCTTTCCTTTCCTTTTTCCCTTCAGCCATCAAATCTTGAATTGTGCTTCATTTGTTCAATTTCTCATCCTTAAATATAATTTCATTCTCTCATGATAAGGATTTCTTCCAGTTGGCATTCTCTGAACTCTTTTTTTATGATTTATTTTTTTCCCTGTGCATTTTTATACCCATGATTTCATTATTTCAACCTTCATTAATCTTTTGGATGATTCCCTTGTTCCTCAAGTCTACTTGGGTCTTGCCTTTGGTTTGATATTGTAAGCTTCATGTGTCAATCATATGCCAACTGAGACCATATTCTTATTCAAATCAACTGAAATGTGTGATGTAGTGTTGGAAATGTGCACCTTTGCTAAACTGCTTTGTAAAAAGTATATTTCTTCTGTCAGAAATGATGAAAAGAAGGTTTTTCCTTTGACCTTGCTCCTGTGTTGTTTTTTTAATCATACAATAGGGGCTTTCCAGTATTTCAAAAGCCCAAAGGTCATTAATTGTAGATGCGTAACAAGATTCAACTCAAGAAAGAACAAAAGACACCCAACCACAATACGTCTAATGTAGAGCAGTCTTTCTTAAGAAAAAAGAAAGAAACCTGAGCATTGAGTAGTGCAAGTGTTCAGGTTTCAACGCCAAACTGGCAAAGTCACTTGTTCCCATTAAACTCTTGAAACAAGTGAATTGGAATTTTTTACACATTTTAAGCAATTAATGGTTAAAAGGCTCTTCTAAGTTTAGTGGTTATTAAAAGGCATCCAAACGGTTGGATCTACTAAGACCACAGTGCAGAGACGGCACCACATATGAGCTGCACATGCTGCTTTTAGTGCAGCTCAGCTGCTCCAGATGGATTTCCCATTGGGATGCTAAAAGCCCAAAGGTTCACCATTGGATCTAAGTTTGACCCTGGTTATTAATTAGCGGTAGCACCTCCCTGCTGAGAGAGGCAGCACACACACAGCTTATACTCTATCTCCTTTTCTTTCTGTTTCCACCTCTCTGTATTTACATAGCCACATGAAAACACACTCTCTTGGTGTGTAAGATTGGTAATTTGCCATAGCACATTTCATCCGCACAGTGAGTGATTGTGTGTATTCTGTGAGGGGATTTTGTGCTGCAGCTGGACAATGAAATGCTTCAGAGACAACTGCTGCTGCACAGAAACACAGGGGAGCACTCTTAAGACACATCAGGCATTGTCAAGGCCACTTCATGGTATTTTGCTTTTTCAAATAGCTTTCAGATTTATTAGATGCATAACTACACAAAAAATAGTAGAAAATGTACATTTTATAAATTAGCAAGTGTCTTTTTCAGAGTTTTTTAATGTGTTTTAAAATCTATCACCATTTCTTTGGAAGTGAAAGTGATATTACATTTACATTACATATTCCTGAGATGTTTTTTTGTAAGGTGGATTAAACAGTTTGACAATACAGTCTAAACATGTAATTGGTTCAGCTTGTTTGGCTGTTGGTTAACAATCTAGCATCCACAGTTTTAAAGACATCATGTTCAGATTTTGTGTGATGGTAGATACCATAACAGCCCGAGATGATTTCATTTTGGTGAAATGGTCACGCTCTTTGGGGAGAGTTGTGCTCTGTGAGTGTTCTTGTTTTCCTTATCAAACAAAACAGTTTTTCACACGTCTTGCCATTTTTTCCCCATCTCACAAGCCCAAAACCCTCAAATTAATCCAGTTACAACAGCGGTCCCCAACCGCTGGGCCACGGACTGGGCCACGACCCAGTCCGTGAGTCGTTTGGTACTGGGCCACGAGAGTTGAGGTTCGGGTGTGAAATTTATGGTTTTCAGGGTTTTTATTGGTTTTTAGCATTAACTCGGGTTCCCTGGGTCTTTTCCCGTGTGTTATGAATAAATCTTATTTTTTTCTGGTACCGGTGCTGGTTTTATTTTGTTGTATTTATCCACGACACCTTAAAGGCCGGTCCGTGAAAATATTGTTGGAAATAAACCAGTGAAATACGAATACAGAAGATCCAAGCTCCACAATGAACACCCGCGGACGACCAGCGGATTCAAACCCAGAACCTTAATGTGAGGCAAACACTAATGCTGTGCAGCCTTTTGTATAGTGTTTGCATATTCCCCCCTGTCTGCATGGGTTCTGTCTGGGTACTCTGGCTTCCCCCTACAGTCCAAAGACATGTAGGAGTGAATGGTTGTCGGTCTCTCTGTCTTAGCTCTGCAACAAACTGACGAGCAGTTTTACAACCGGATGATACATTTGCTTGGCAGTTTAAGAGATCATCTACTAGCCAAGACTTCATCGGTTGGGTCACTGAGATAGCACTTACAGAGCAGTGAAAGCCTACACCCACTACTGATGCTGATGCTGGACAAATATGTGCATTTTTGCTGGTGTGTATTTGTCTCAGAGGGTTCTGCGGAGGAAGAAAAGTCTTGATTTCACCATATAATGTGGCCATAGAGGGTTTTTTTTTAATACATCCCATCAGTGAGGCTAGCTGAATGTCTCTCTATGGAGTTCTTTCATAGAACAGTAAGAATCTGGTAGGCAGGCAGAGGAGTCTAATAAAGAAGCACAAACACACACACACTGACTCACAGTGCTGTATAAAGTTATTTCTCCTTTGGGATTGTTTCATACTACAGTAAGATACTGAGAAGCCCTGCGGACCCATTAACCACACACACACTCACACACACATTGCATATGTTGGCTATTGGAGGCTGTGTAATACAAGAAAAACATGTAGACACATATTTGCCGTATACCTTAATGAAAGTCTTGCGAATACGTTCAGTGGTCTGTGTTTCTGTTCGTATTTTATCCCATAATTCCTCCTCGATTTTTCTTATAATAGAACTTAAAGAAAAGGAAACAACTCGTGTTATTTCTCTCCTAATGTCTTCCTCATATCGCCGTCATTCCTTCCATTCTTCGTGTCTGTTTCTCATTCGTCTTGTATTTGATCCGCAGAGCTCCACTGCAGGTCTGGAAAGTGTGGACAGTGATTTTTTTTTTAAGCTTTCTGACAGAATAGTATGAATTACAAAGTGTGAGAGGACAGCTGTTACAAATATGTTAAGTATGTTTGTAGAGCAGTAAAGCCAAATTTGGAGAATTTTCTTCAGATATTGCCATATTACACATTAGTCTGGGAGAGATAACGGCCTCACTGCACATCTGCCATCAGCAAATATAACTCGGAGCCAAAGAAAGAGGGCTTGAAATGGCGAATGTGTAGAATCTCTTCAGCCTTTTAACTCCAAATGTTGTCGTTCCCTCTCTTTCCTTCTCGGTCTACCTCCCTTTCTCCTCCAGAGGGAAATGTTCAGTAATGTATTTTGTAATGGACTGTAACCTACTGGCAGGTCCTCCCTGGAAAATACTGTAACTGGAGCCATTTACAAAGCTGATAACCACCATGAATGAGTGTGAGTGTGTGTATGTATGTTTTTCTGTGTCGGAACCTATTTGTGTCTGCGTGTGTATGAGTGTGTTGCGCTGACTTGTGCTACCACACATTTAAAAGTGTATATTTTATGTGTTTGTGTGTGTTAGGGTTAGGTTTAGCTGCTGGTGAGTATTGGCGATTCACTGGAAAAACACAAAATTGCTGAGACTTTTTCTGTCAGTTGTTTGTGCAGCAAATCAGGGAAGACTCAAAATCACAAGTGACAGCTCCTCTGATGTACTGTCACTTTTCATTGTTGCGTCAACGCCACTAAAGAATGGAGTACAATTTTTTTTTCACAAAATCCCTCCATCCAATCTACTTTTGATGAACTTAACCTCAAAAGGATTCTCAAATGCCAGAGCAATTAAATTATGTTTTTGTCAGTGTTTAAGTGATAACCAAGTAAGTATTTTATAGTTAGAAAACATGCTAAAAGTGACTAGGACAAGTAGGCAACAGGTAAGCGACTGCTTAAAGCTGTACTCCAATGCTGACGCAAAGAGGCTCGGTAGCTCAAGCTGGAAAACATGGAGAATTTATTCCTAATAATTTTCAAAGTTTGTATTCTCTGTACATTTATTGTACTCTGCTACAACCCAGAATGTGCATTTGGCACAAACTTACAATTTAGACCCAATAGCTGGGTCAGATCAAGGGCACATTCTCACCATAAACACACTACTCTGGAGTTCATTTGGAACCAGGCCTCCTCCAAAGGGTCTTGGTGCAGTTTATTTGGTTTTTGCCCTAGTGCGATTATCATGTTCATATCTGCACAGATGAATTGCACCAAGAGGAAAAACAAACCAGAGTTAACGGACTAAACAGGGCAGGGGTTAAAGCAACCTTGGAGGTGAACAACAAAAGGCAGGAAAGGAAACAGATTATCAATTCTACAATCAAAACCAAGATAATCTTAACTCAGACAATAATGTTGACTACTACTGGGAGATATAACCAAATGGACAATGTAGCAGATGTACTGCCTGGTACAAGATGAAGCTTTAAATGGGTGGAGGTATAGCAGTTTGAGTATACTCAATTGTACATTGCTGTAACACCAGGGTGATGGACAACTTTTCAGCAATAAAAAATGGAACAAGACACAGAGACATGGAGCACAAGTAAAGTCTAGACTTGACTAAGCCTGCATGTTGCAGAGAAAATACAGGTTTTCCTTACAGCTTGCTGCCTGGGGAATCTACAAACAGTAAAGCAACGGCAAAAGAAAATGAAGAAACCAGAACAAGATTACACTGCAATGACTCTCGCTGTACCATTACAATTAAGGCCTCAGTAAAGTTGTGCATTCCTGCTGCTGCTGCCAAAAGGCACAACTTTTATTTTAAAGATGAATGGTCTCTGCATTCAGTTTGTGTCACATTTTCAACTTTCATTATCGCTCAACAACTAGTTGGGGAGCGTTTGGAGATAGGTGGGCATCGTCCATGAAAACTAAGGTCGACTTCAACAATTCACAAGCAGTGACCCAAGCAGGCACAAGGAGGTTTTTGGCGTAGCACCATGTACCTCTTTGTGACCAGTTTCACCCGAGCCACTGATGGCTGACACCGTGTTGCCAGTTGCTTTGAGGACTTTGAGTATCTGGGATAGACACACACACATAGACAAGCAGAGAAAAATAAAAATAAATAATATGCAAAATAAAAATTAAGTGACACAAGATCAAATTGAGAAAAATATTTAAAAAAATGTAGATGAAGTGTTTGGCAACACAAAAACCATTATTATTTTTCCTGCTATATTTATCTGATGATGTCATATCATCATTCATTTATTGATATTCACCGAGTTCACCAAATAACATTCTGTGTAAAATGAATGTATATAATCAAACCCCAAACCTGAGGCAAATTCACATCGATATTTGTAGTTCTTGTGTGTAAGAAGTGAAGACGTGACGAGGTTAAAAAGTGGAGGAAGAGTTTAGAGAGAAAGATGTTACTGCGCTGAGGATCCTGTCAATGAAACACATGGGTTGTGTTTGTGTGTGGGTATGCTGAGTGACGATGAGCACAGCTCGCAGAGTGTGGACAGACGCTGCTGGGATTAAATATACTTTACCCACACACACACTAACAGCCCTCTTAAAATGCTTCCTCTGCACTTAAATCGTAGTATTCCCCAAGGAGAACAGTGTGTGTCAGCATGCCTTATCTCTGTGTGTGTGCGCGCGCGCGCGTGTGTGTGTGTGTGTGTGCCCTGGGAGGTCTCATGTCATGCGCCCAGAATGCATGTATCTGTTTTGCTCATCTGCACTTATATAGTCAGACGTTCAACAAGAAATGATGCTTTTTAAAGAGAATCGTCTTTCTACTTCTGAGTTCATAATAGCCATTACCTGTGGATTGGTGGGGATTAATATGTTCTTCCAGTATTCTGTTTACTCGTGAGCATGACAGTCTACCAACAAAATATGTTTTTATATATATGTTCACCTCTTTCCTCTGTCTATTTTTCCAATAATTAATTCGTCTTTCATTAATCTAAATGTCTGAATTAGCCAAAACTAATTTTACTTTACACCGAGGTAAACTTTGCCCTAAACATACAGTCTGTGGTGTCTGAAATCATATTTTCAATTATATTATATTAAATTATATTTTCTTGTTTGCAATTTATTTGAACTCCTACTACTTCCAAGCACTTTGCAACTTGTGTGCCTTTGAGTTTTGGTATATATTTCTCCTGTTTGCTATTTATTCCTCCTGTCTACTATTTATATTTTATTCCGGCACAGTTGTACATGTACAGTGACAATAAAGGGCTATTCTAGTCTATTCTATGAAATCTGTTTGTTTTTTTTACCCTGTAAAAAATTTTATTTCCGGTGTTAAAATTTCAGTTTTGTGAAAAAACAGCTACAAAAAATAAAAACAACTGATTTGTAGGGAAGGGATTTGAGAAGAGGTGTGCTATAAATCAAGTTCAACATAGCCAGGCTTTTTTGTGTTTTTGTGCCAGGCTCAAAAAAACCCTTAAAACTCTTGTCAGAAAAGAGCAGCTCTCTTTTTTTACCTGGCTAAATCACCATGGTAACTATGCTGAACATGTTTTAAGCGTATTATAGATTCTCTGCTGGGGGATTGTGTCTTATATGTGCAAATTGTTAAGCTGTACTTTACTAGAAACTGCTGAAAGAAGCACCGCATCATCAGGGGAATGTGTGTGCATTAACTTTTTGAAAGCAGTCTCAATTACACATCCATCAGTGCCTCATCAGGCAAGCTGTAAGAAGACTTTTACCAAGCTAACAAATACTTAAACTATGCATATATCACTGGTATTTTTATTTGATTTGATTACTTTTTTCAATTCATGAAATTATTTTTTTTATGTTTCGTTTTTAGTTTTGTTTCCATAAACTACAATAACCTCGGTGCTCACAGTGGATCAGCTGCTGTAGGTGCAGTGTTTGTGGAAACTGAGCACATTGTTTTTCTTTAAATGAACTACTTTAAATGGTTTTCTCGGCTGAAAACTGCCCATGAGGGTCTTCTTTCAGTCTCAGCTACAGCTGTGACAGTATGCAATTAAAAACAGTGCACTGATCCTCATTATTAGAAGCGCTTTCTCTGGCTTTCTCTCAGTGTGCCTCTGCTTCATTTTCTTTGTCTTACTCATCTTACATTTGCCCATCACTGCATGTCCATCTGGCCTAGTATTCTTGCAAAATCGTTATTATTATCGTTCATGTTTTTTGTTTTGCTATTTTTCATACAGTAAACACATAAAAGAATTAATTTTCTGTTTTCCTCCTTCAGATTCTTTCTCCTCTCCTGGATCTTAATCAGAATCGCAGTAAGCTGAAGCTGTACATCAGTCACCTGACCTCACTGTGTCAGGAGCGAGACCCAATCATATTGCAAGATTTTGCCCCGCCCCCCGCCTATCACCGCTCTGACTCCGCTTCCTGGCATACGCAGCTGCACAGCATGACGCAGGAACAGGTGAGGACACCTGGGTGTGTTCTGAGTGAGAGATGAGAGGAAGGAAAAAATGAAATGCAACGACATCAGTCATTCCTGCGGTTCAAAAAAAGTGTTTGTGTGTGTAAGAAAAAAGGGGGAAAAAGAGCGAGAGCGTGTTCTATTTTTGAGAAGCGTGGAGGGAAAAAAAGCGATAATATTTAGTTGCTCCTCATTTATCAATTCTTTAAAACTCTCCACTGTGTGTGTTTGTGTGCTTGCCTTTACATGCTGTATGTGTTGACATGCACGAGGTTGCATGCTTGTTCTTGCTGTGAGTGTGCAGATGTGTGTGTGTGTTTGCATGTAGGAGTAGGGGCACACACTTGGGCTTGCCTGGCAGGTTTTTGGCGCTGCTTTTGACATTATTGAAAAGATTTACTCCAGCAGGTCACCTGACGACAAGCGCCTGGCTGCGGAACAAAAACCGTTTCAGACATTTTATTTTACTGGGAGTAAACTCCGTTTCAAGCTTTTGGCAGCAG